GATAGATAGATAGATAGATAGATAGATAGATAGATAGATAGATAGATAGATAGATACTAAAAGCAACTGGTTTAATGGGTTTTAGTTCCTCCTTGGATTCACCCAAAATTCCAAACCTTCCACCAGCCTACCCCAACCCTCGTCCCTTGAGAGGCACTGGACCCCAATTCTCATTACTGTACCCTGCCGAGACTGATGGGAGCGGTAGTCCAACATATCCAGAAGGGAAGAAAAAGCTAGGACAAATATGAAAAGCTAGGACAAATAACCAGGCTCAAATGATCATATTTTGGACCCATTATGCAAAGACTTAGACCTCCAGAGAAGTCTGTAATGCTGGGAAGGGTAGAAGAAAAGAGAAGAAGAGGACGACCAGCAGCAAGGTGGAGGGACTCAGTTTACAGCAGCAATGGATGCACTCTTGGAAGACCTGGTTGGGGACAGATCTTCCTGGAGAAAAATTCATCTATGTGGTCACTAGGAGTTGACCCTAACTTGACGGCCCTTCTTCTCCTACTCCTGCTCCTGCTCCTCCTCCTCCCTAACTCATTCACATAGTTTTGGGTTCAGGGGGTCCAAATGACAATTCTTCCATTATGTCCCACCCACATTCCCCCTGGGTATTTTTTTCCCCTTGCCATGCTAAGACGAGAAAGACGAAATCGCTCCATGTTGGGGGACTTCATTTAATTTGCACTCACCCAACCACCAAAGCCAATTTTTCTCTTGGTCCCATCGCCTTTCTCGTCCTGAATCTGCCAACTCGTGCCCAGACAGCCAAGCACGGCCCTTGACTTGAACCAAGTTTCCTTCTCTGCTTCACAAGGGCTTACCCCAAGCCCTAGATTAAGCTACAATAAGAATGTGGGGTTCCCAACGGTCGGGTGAATCAGATCATCCGATTAAACCAAAATATGATTTATATGCTGGGCATTGCCCATCATGAGAATCCAGTGACTGTATTTTATTTATCCAAGATTTCGGAGTGTGAATGCAGTAAGAATCTGGTCTCCTTTTCTGCTTTTAATTCATCTTTTGACTCCCCTTCCCTCAACCCCTATCAAGCACTCCAGGACTCCTAACGTTGCCGTGACCTTGCATTATTTTACAGAAATCTTCAAGCAAGATCACTGGTCTAACTCTCCTGCATTTCTCCCTTCCTTCAACCCCCTTTGCTTCCCGATTCCCCGCTACAAAAGACCCATGGGGAGACTGCAACATGCCTTTTCGAGACGTCCCTTGGCATCCTAGCTACAGTAACCCTATTTTCTTGGAAAAAATAAAGGGCCGATCTGAAAACGGGGCAAATCGAAAGGTTCAGAACTCCAAAAAAACGTTTTTGCTCCGCAAAGGAAAATTCAAGAGCAAGAACAAAAAAACAGGAGAAGAGTTACTTGGCTCTACAAAGGAAAATTCAGGAGGGGAACCCAGAAAATAAAAAATTTAATTAAATCAATCAAGCGGTAGCTATAGGGAACCCTTTCTTGAAATGCACCAGGGAGAAAGGGATGGGCAAGGATTGTACGGGGGCAGAATTTGATTTATTTTTCTTTTTTCCTCTCTCATCTGATGCATCGCTACGGATGAACTGGAAATGCTCTTTCAACTCGCAGATGACCAGTGAATATTGAAATTTTTTTCCCTTCGTGTCTTAAATTAGCCTGAACCTCAGTGGAGAAGACACAGTGACAAGACACTTAATCCATCTTCCCCCAGGAGCGCCGCGGCGAAACTTACCAAGAAACCTGCGCTTATAATAAAGCAATCTTTAGAAAAGGAGAAGGTTAAATGAGGAGGAGAAGATTCTTAGAAAAAGAAAGGCTACTCACCTTTCGCAAAAGGCAACAGATGCGCTCGATATTTTTCAACCTTTCTCTCTGCGGGGAAATATAAAATATAATGAAACCATGGCTTACGGCAGGGAATAGGGACAATGGAGAGAGGAGGGAGGAGAGGGGTTGGGTGACTTTAATTGGGGGCTTGGAAAAGACTTTTTTCCCAGCTTTGCCAAGCCACTGAAAACGTCCTCCATCTATCCGGCTGTCCCCCAAGCTTGATGATTTTTTTATTCTTCAAGAGTAACTCCAACACATTGGAGGGTGCCCCAGGGAGAAGAGCTGGCCTCTGCAACCACAGAACGACATCTGGGTTATAACCGCTGGGAAATCTAGAGAACTGCCCCACCTTCGATCCCCGCCAAGCCCATTTTACAGATGCAGAAGACTGAGCCGAGCGATCTGTGCAAGAACAGGCATGGTAAGGTTTCTGTGCTGCAAATCGGGGGCCCGGAGTGCTTGGCTTCCGGACGGAGCTGAATTATCCCCTTATCTTGAGTTTGGATCTCCCCGCGTAATTTCTGTGCTCAGATGCAAACTTTCTCAAGGTTATTTTGAGACTGTACGTCTTGCAAAGATGGTGGAAAGGTGTGGCGAGAGCCTTAATTTTCCACCTGCACAGGCCGGCGCCTGCAAATTTACAGTGATCCGGGGCACCAACCTCAGCTGCGCTGTGCTTTCCGGCCCCGTCGGGACAGAAGAAAAATTGAGGTCAGACAGCACTATTTATACCTTCAGGATGAGATGGGCCAGCTGAGAGACATCTCACTTTCTTGGCAGAGTGCCAGTGACAATTTGGAGGCAATTGATCTTTGCAAAGATCTGGGACATTCCAGAATATAACCTACATTTTCCTCTCCTGCTCTGCAACGTGTCCCACGTTATCCTTGCAATGTTCTTGTTTTTCTCACAGGGGCTTCCTTGCCTGCTGGAAACTGTTTACGCAGGTCCTGCTTGAACAACCAACTGGATTCTTTTAAAAGGCCTCTGCCTTTTCCCAGAAACATAAGACGCCTTTCCATTTAAAAGCTCATGAAAACAGCTGCTTTTCTCCTGCATCAAACTCCCAGCCATCATACAGTTTATGGAAAATTGCAAAAAAAAAAAACCCAACGCATCAAATTTTTTATTTAGGCTGTAAGATGCACACATCCTCAGCCCATGGAGAAACAGAGGAATCGATGGATCAGCTATGGATAAACTTTGCTGAAGATGTTTCCTTACATGGTTTAAGCCTGGCCTCTACTTTGGATCTGGGGAAATAACCAAGCAAGGGACTTTAATGAAGGCTGAAGACCAATTAATGATTAATTTGGATGCTTGGAGAGAGGAGAACCTAAGACTCCATTCCCCAAACTCAAAATCTTTGAGCGACACCAGACTAAAATTCCCATGCTCCTCAGCTGCATGACAAGAAGTTGTGCTTAAAATACACGGAGAGCACTGAGAGCTACAGCTCTCTTAGCCTTTGTGGCAGCTTCCAGGCCCCTGGGATTCCAACTCCCAACATCCCCAGCCAGGGAAAGCAGCGCAGTCATCCAAGACAAAGGAGAGGAGCTCCAGCGACAAGACAGGGAGTATCATTTTTATGAGACCTTTCTGCTCTGCTGGGAAAAAAATTATTTTCTTCTCTCCCGTGACACCTTAACCATCTTTTAATAGAAAAGTTTTCCCCCCTATTTCATCCAAACCTCCCTCTCCCTCTTCTCCTCGGTTCTGGAAAAGACTTATTTTGCCAGACAAATCGAAAGGGATTTCATTAAAAAAAAAAATGCATTTGGTAGTAAAAAATGCCCCTCCAGGTAGTAAAAGATCAAGCTTTTTTCGGTCCCTAAGCTAAGCAGAACGTGCAAGATTTCAGAGCAATGAATAAAGCAGGAGGAGTTAAAACATCTTTTTCAGTGCACAAAACCAACGTTTGGCTATTTTTACGGCCTATATTCGTTCACCTACAGGAACTTTCCTGGAATTTGTTCTCCTCCCAATTCAGCAACCCGAAATCAGACTGGAAGAATAGAGTGGTCTAGTATGAACATCAAATGAGGGAGAGAGATTAATTTCCTCCTGTCCAAATCTTGCCCCATTACACACACACATGCCTAGACACACTTATTTACAACAGCCTCCCCCCGCTTGACAGCCCCTCCAAATTTCCATGCAATGGGGTTGGGGGGGATTACAAATCCTGCATGCACGCCATCTGAGCTGACATCAATTTTACTTCAATGGTATGAAATTAAATTTAAATGATATTCAACAATAGTTTGGTCTCAGCCACCCCTCCCTTGTCTGGGGGAGGGAGGTCTGAACAACCACCCCAAGTTGATTCATCTTGATCAAATGGAACAGACTTAAAACAAGTGGCGACGGTGCAGATTCAGCTAGGACCTTTTGCACCCTGTGGGCGCATGGTCCCTTCGCTCTTCGCCAGCGTCTTCTGTGCTGGGCCTTATCACGGGCGGGCGCTTGGTTAGTCCCTACTTTTAACTCGATTATCGTGGCCAGAAGGGAACAAAAACCTGGAAGGGAAGCAGGGAGGACGGGGAGAAGACAAACAAATGGAGACAGACACACCTCAGACACGATATGTTTAGACTTACTGCCCTGGCTGGATTGCCCTGGTCGATGGGGTTCTTAAAGTCTATGTGCAGTTCGTCAAAGGCGATTATCTAAACGAGGAAAGAGAAAGAAGAGAGACGGGTTGAGAAGCCGCCTTGGGGGAGAGCTGCCCCCGTCCGAGGGAACAAGCACCCAGCAGGCCGGGCCGTTGCAGCAGCCCCCGTTAGCCCTGAACGTCGTGAACCCGCGCGGATGTCCCGGAAGGAAAAAAAGGGCGGAGAAGATCAGGGTGCGGAATTTGCACCCGGACCGGCGTTCGCCCTAAAAAGGCACAGTCCGCACAGCAGACAGACGCGTCTCAGTTTTATCCACACCCTTAAACTGAGAAGGACAGGTATCGGATGTCGAAGTTGCCCCTGGAGCGGTCCTGTAGATGTTGCTGAACTACAACTTCCATCAGCCCCTGCCAGGAATGATGAAGGATGCTGGAGTTAGGGCCGGCCACACCTGGAGATCTGCAGATGCCTAGACTGAGTGCGAGCTCATGTACAAATAAAACAATTAATCTATGTGCCTGTGTATGTCTGTGTGTGTCTGTATATGTGTGTGTCTGTGTATATATATATGTGTGTCTGTGTACATGTGTGTTTATATATGTGTGTGTCTGTGTGCATGTATGTGTATATATGTGTGTGTACATATGTGTGTGTATGCATGTGTGTATATGTGTCTGTGTCTGTGTGCATGTACGTCTGTGCGTGTATATGTGTGTGTGCATATATGCATGTACGTCTGTGCGTGTATATGTGTGTGTGCATATATGCATGTATGTCTATGTGTGTGTGTGTGTATGTGTACATGTGTGCGTATATGTGTCTGTATGTGTGCATATATGCATGTATGTCTGTCCATGTATGTGTGTGTACATATGTGTGTATGTCTGCATGTGTGCATATATGCATGTCTATGCGTGTGTGTACATGTGTGTGTATGTGTGTCTGTATGTGTGCATATATGCATGTATGTCTGCGTGTATGTGTGTGTCTGTGTACATATGCCTGTGTGTATATGTGTGTCTGTGTATGTGTGCATATATGCATGTATGTCTGTGTGTGTATATATGCGTGTATATGTGTGTGTCTGTTTTAGCTTCCTAAGGATTAATTCCGTAATCGTGTATTGAACAATGGAATAATCTAATATTCTCCAATTCTTTTTTGGGGGGAAGGGTGCATTAGTCTGTAGGACTTTTTTTATTTTAAAAAAGCATGATAAACCTTCTCTTTGAAAAGATGATAACAATTCCCATTTATTCCCCATGCTGATTCATCTTTTTTTAAAAAAAAAACAGGGAAAAGGTTTTTAAAAGTTCGTAAAGAACAATATTGGAAGAGAACCTAATTCGCTTGTTCTCCTTGGCACGGGCCCGGTGCAAAAAACCAGCGTCCGGGCATCTCTTGTGGGTCGAGTCACTTCTTTCGAAGGAAAAGGTTATCTCAGAAAGATTTTATTCATTTTAAAAGGTAACACATCCGCACACACGCCTTTCCCTGGACTGCGTTCACGTGTAACTCTGAGCTAAGGTATTTTATCTCAGTGCTGAGTGAAACTTTAACAGCTCCTGTTGTACGTGCTGAAGAAAAGATTGCAGGAGGACTATGACTTAGCCACTAGATATCACCCTGGCTTTCAAAAAAAGTCAAATTCACGGGAAGGACAGCAGACCTACGGACAGCTACGGGGCATGACAATTCATGGAACCTCCATGCTCAAGAATAGTGTACCATTTCTAGACCAGCTCCTGGAAAGCAGATACATTAATACGCTCATGCGTGATTCGGATGGATTCTCAGTTTGATCTCGCAAGGACGGGGGTGGTCTTGGGATTGCTCCTCCAAGCTGGGGGTGGGGGGGTGGCCGTTACACAATAGATTTAATTTGGTTACTGAAGGAACCCATGTTCTGGATAGAGGCAGGACGCTAAAGCCTGAACGTGGCTCGATTCCCAAGAACGACGACAAAGCCTAACTAGGATTACTGTTCTCTAAGCCGCATGAATGCAGCTGCTGAGTTTTTCTGAAGGATTTTTAAATAAACCAGCATTCAGGGAGCAGGGCTGGGCGGAAGAAAGGGATGTGATTCCATTGTACCGTCAATCACAGGAATTTGACAAAACCGAGGTTAGGCTGGTGATCAGCGTCCTCTGCCCACCAGGGTCTTCCATCCTGGGGAATTTCCTGACCACCCTCCCCTCCTTGCTCTCTCCTGCTCTCTCTCTCTGTTCAACCCCTTTATATTGATTTATTCATTCAATTTAGAGGCTGCCCGACTTCCAACCCTGCTGGGCGGTTTGCTCTCGAAAGGCAAGAAACGTCAGAGCAAAGATATAGATCCTACACGTCCGGAACGACGTCCGTGCATCACAAACACGTCCTGGGGGCTCAACAATCGCCCCACCCCAAGGCTTGGGAGAACAGGCAAGGTTCAGAGGCTTTCTGAACGGCATTGGGGGAGCAGGGGGGCAGCCGTACAGACCCCCGGAGAACCGCCACAGAGAAAGCCACCTTTCTTAGGGGCCAATAAATGACTTTGTTTCATCGAAAGGACCAGGAAGTGCACCCACGTGGCCTGATCTTACTGGATGGGCCAAAATTATTGGAAATCAGCAGCCCTTCCAAGAACCTGATGCCGTGAACAGCTTTCTAGATCACAACCAACATCTTCCATTGCAAAAGGTATGATTTGGGGGTCACCTGGGCATTCTGGATTCCCCCCGCTTCTCCGGGGAGAAGGTGGCCAAATTCATTGGGCATATTCTTTCTTTTGCTGCCTTTCTCCTCCATTACCCCCCAGGTCATGCACGCACGCACACACGCATGCACACACACACAGGGCCGATCCTCAGCCCCATCTGCCATTTTCCACGGCGGCATCTTCTCGGGAACAAGGCGGCCCGCGAAATCCTGCCAAGTTGGGTGAGTCAAACAGGAGAGTTTCCCAGCGACATGTCTCTGGAGCAGAGAAGAGGCTTTATTTTATGGGGGGGGGGAGGCTGTTGGAAGCCCGCGCGCCGCTGGCACCGTTGCCAGAACCACCCACGGCTCCCCTCTCCTCTGCTGGCGGAGAAGCTGAACCCTTGCTACCTCCCCGGCACGGCAAAAAACACCCTTTATTTCAAGGAAAGGGATGTTTCCCCTCCAGCCCATAATATGCGCTTCCCTTCCCACGCATCGTGAAGACGAGAGACTTGCGAGGGGCAAGCGAAGGGCGACGGGGATGATTCATGAGTCCGAGCCGCTCTCCTGGGAGGAAAGGAGACCACAGGGGGGTCTTTTTGCTCGGGGTGAAGGCAGGAAAAGGGCCGAGAAGGGAGGGTGTAAAACCACACCTGGGGGGCAGCCAAAAACGTGTTTCTCCTTCTTTCACAGAGCTAGGACTTTGGGTCGCTTGCTGAAGTGGAAGGTGGGGAAATCCAGAGGTGATCAAAGGAGGGACTTTCTAGCATGGGGTGGGGTGAAACTATGGAACTCCCTGCCTCTAGATGGAGGGGCGGAACAACCCCAAAACCCCACTCGATCACTGTCCGATCCAAAATACTGGACTAAGTGAGTCTCAGTCTGGTTAAACTAAGTTCTCCTTACGTTCTTCCCCGATTAGGGCTCAGCGACATCCGACAGGGCCTCGCAAGGGTCTTTGGAATCTTGAGTTTCAAGCAGCAAGCTTCTAGTCCTCATGAACCCGATTTTTTCCCCTTCTTCTTTAAATAAGGAAACCCACCCTTGCTGCTCTTCTCTGCAGTTTAACGGCCAACGTGTCTCCGTTCTGGCCCGCAGCTTTCACCTCCAAACGACCAGGGGCTAATTTCCTTTGGAAATCCATTCCCCGTTTTTTTGACCCAGTGACAGTCGAGGCAGAAATTGCATCCATTACCTGTCAAAACCATGCTGAGTGCCAAAGAAGCCTGGGAAAAGTGCCTAGCAACGCTGACACGCGCACTTCCGTGTACCCAGCCAGAGTGATTTCACACCACAGGCGTCCTTCTCCTGCCTGAATCCGCCTTCACTTTCTTTCTTCCTCCTTCCCCGTCTACCGAGGACCAAATTTTTGTCAAAAAATGATGATGGTGTTTTTTAAAAAATGAACTCCTTCTACAGGATGGTTCCCAAAGGTTCAGTGCAAAGGCTGCAATTAAAAAGGAACATGTGGGTGGCATGAAAATCAACCTCTCTGATCTGTACAGTGTGGCTTATCTACAAACAGAAAAATAGAAAAGATTCATCCATGGCCTGGTTCATGCCACCAGGTAAGTATTAACCCTGGTTTAAGGAGATACCAGGGTTGCACTCACATGAATATGCTATGCACCCCCCCAATGAAACAGATTCTGCCTTCAGATGATGATTAACTTCACCCACTTTGCTAAAACACTGGATGGACGTCTTCAACGCCCCGAATGCACGCTCCCCAACCTCGCTTCTTTCAAAGAGGAATTGCACACACACATTGCACGAACGCAGAGCACGCTCTGCATCCCCGCAGCTCTCAGTGTGCAAATTCCAGAACTTTCACCCTGGAAAGCTAAGCGAATTGGACACCCCTGAGCAGCGTCTTCACACTTCTGCAGGTGTGCCAATGCATGTAAGAACCGACGGGAGCCATCCATACAAGGTGCAGGGAAGAAAAATCGATATCGAGAAGGAGAGAGTTGGGACGCCAGTCAAGAGAATGATCGTGATTCCTCTGGAGCTGGAAGGGGAAGAATAAAGATATTTTTCTTGGATAATCCCCGTAAAAGAAAAAAAGTTGGCTTCATAGACATGATTTCTTTAATGCTTCTTTTTAAATAAGCCTCCCATTTTTCAATGACAGTTGCTTCCTTACAATGCAGTGGTTTCTATTTCATTTGACCACGATTTTAACGAAGACTTTTACGAGACGAAGCTGTTCGGGAAAGGGGAGGGCAGCCGAAACCCAGTTTAAATCTCAGCTAGGCTGCAAATCTCCTCCTCACCAGGTTGTGGTTAGAAAAACGTGGGGAATTTGCAGGAAAAGCAGGACTTCGCTCTGGGGGCAGTCGAATTAGCGGCCCCAATCTTTGGAGGCCCGTGTCCAGATGAGATAGTTCCTTTTTGCAAAAAGCACGCTCACCCTGCTGAAAACATCTGATCTTTTGCAGATCTTTGGGGGCACAGGATCTGGGCTCCCCAGAGGCAGTTGGAAAAGATGAGTTAGCCACGCAATCTTGGAAGGGAATCCCCAAGGATTTCTCTCTTAGATAAAGGTCCAGTGGATCGCCGCACAGGAATTGCCAAGGGGCAGGTGGTCATTTTGAGGACATTCTATTTTTCTTTTCCTTTTTTAAAGCTGTACAAAGTCGAGGAGAAGGAATGAAACATCTGGGCCCCCTTCGTATGACCGCTTTCCGACGACGGGCCCTCTCATTGCCTCTCTCCTTTCCGATTCGAGGGAAAAATATCAACAGCTCTGAGTTATCAAATCGAGTCTTGTTGCATCCAAAGTGGATTCAGGACTATGGATAGCTCCATTAAAGAGAAAAGAGGGGAACGTTGACGTAGGATCCAAGTATTTGAAGGATAACCAAACGGGGGAACATCGTTCCAGATGCCTAAAGCCATCTGGGAGGGTTGCAATATCCGATCCTCACAAAATGCCCTTTCTAGAACCGTCTGCCAGAAACAAGGATTTCCAACAGGCCAACCATCTTTCTCTTCCCGCCCGGACGAGACGCTCCTGTTGCGATTTCGTGGATATATCTAAAATCATACATTCCTACATTTTTCAATCTCAGAACTGGGAGAGGGGCCATGGTCCAGCAAATTTTGAATTTGGAGCGCAGCCTAACCCGAAATTCGTTGGGAGAATTTCTTAGGGGAAGGATTGTAGCTTGCACGATGGAAGAAAAAAGACCGGGATGGACGTCTGCCAAGACGATGCCCACCCGCCCACCCCCAAATCCTGCTCCAACCTAGAACTTTCTAGGAGTTTGGACGTAAAAAGAGCCAGATTGTGCAAACATTCCAAGACCAGCCTATGGCGGTGTAAAAACACACCGTATGACTCACATTTTAAAGAACCGTGTAAATTATTCAGGGATTTTCAGAGCTGGCAAATTTCTATATTCCACTCTGGTTTGCTCCTTGGATGCCAAGATAGGATCCATTCCGGTATCAGGACAAACAATTCAGAAAAATTGTTTCTGCTCTGTCTTCAAAATGGCAGCTTCCATTGTCAGCCCTGATAGCCGTGAAACCCGGATTCTGCCAAGTTGTTTGAGCATTTTTGAAAAGGCTATTTTAAGCTTAAGACCCTCACTGTTTCCAGCGGGAACTAGTTCCCCGAGCCAATAAAATTAATATTGCCTCTTATCATCCCAAACTTTGGGGTCTGCAAACGTCGAACTTAGACAAGCACTGCATCAGCTCGATTTTTATGTTAGCATTTTATTTATTTTATTTTAGCATTTTATTTCATTTCAATTGATTGCCAGGTTTACAAGGTTTCAGGTCAGGTCTGAATTTGAAACAGCCTACCTAGAAGCAAAGATTTGTTACAAAGATGGGGTCTTTCCTGTCTCTTAACCTTAACAAAAATGTGGATTAATCTTGGAATCCAATCAGCAGGAATCCAATCTTATTTCTACATGGCTGTTACAGACATTCATCTCTTCTGTATTAAAAGTCAGAAAACTTCCATCCCAAGGATTAATCTGGGGGAAAACCCTGAATCTGTTATTCTGTTTCTTGCATTTCCAGGCTAGGTTTAAAAAAAAATAAAATAAAATGGTCACATTCGTTCAGGAAAGAAAATTCTGAAAATTGCCTCATCTATTAAGAGCTACCAAGGTCATGCAAAAAAATCAAAGTGTTTGAATTGACCAAATCCTTGATCAGGGAAATGTTCTCAGTTTCCACTTTACATCCTGGGGGAAGACCAACAATTCAGCCATTTAAAGTGATTTCATGGCAATTTTGCTGAATTTTTAGTCGTTTCTCCACGGTGCCCCTCAATGAGACGCAACCTGGAAATATTTCGCCCGAAAGAAATGGATGTAAGGAAACAGGACCCTCTTCCGTGGCAAAATTTGTTAATTTTAATTTTAAAGGGTCATTTTTTTTTTAAATTTTAAAGGGTCATTTTAAGGGGTACAAAAAATAAAAATAAAAAGTAGGTAACTCGGCCAGCGCTGGAAGGAATGGACACTTTTCAAACTCGAGTTCGTTTGCCGTTCTCTATCCTAGGTTTCTTTTCTTTTCTTTCAAATAGCTTTATTAGATTTTAAGAGAAGAAAAAGAAAAAGTAACCTTAAAGAGAGGGAGGAAAGGAGGGCAGAAAAACGAAAAAGAAGAGAGAGAACGAAGTCAGAAGTGCAGGAAGAAAGAAAGGAAAGGAAGGAAAAAATACAAAAAAAGAGTGATTCCGACTTTCCTCGCCCACAGATATAAGTATCAATTTACACTTAATTCTTACTCTAAGTTCCCAACAGAACTTTCATTATTTCTATGCTCTGCTGTTATTTCTAGGCAGCAAATCCAGGCAGCCTCATTTCATTTTATCCTAATTTCTTTTGGGCGCTTCTTTTCCACCCCGTCCCCTGAATCTCCCGGCTTTCGGTTAGCCGGCGGGCTGTAATTTTTCTCCAGCCTTTTTTTCTCTGCAAAATGCTTTGCTTTTACACACTTTGGCTCCGTTTTGGCTTCTGGGCCGTGCCCCCCGCGAGCCGTGCCAGGGAAGGGGGGGCGGTGTTTGATTTTCACGCCAGCCGTTTCCCCCCCAGGTTTGGAAACGTGGCTGCTGGGATGATGCCAGCCATCCCCATATCCTGGGGGCTCACAGGGGGGCCTGAGAACGGGGCGGCCCCACGGAAAAGCGGGGGAAGAGCGCGAGAGATCTCACATCCAGCCGTGGAAGATGTTTTTATTCTCGTTTTCACCTTGATGGGAAAGGCCTGAAGGTACCGTTGGTTGCTAGGGCAACCACAGCTGTCAATTTTTTGGGGGGGGGACATGTTAAAATTGCACCCAGCAGACAAAGGGGGGTCTGGGATCCATTGAGAGTCTCTGTCTCCTCCATGGTAACCCACAAGTTATTTCTTCAATGCCTTTTCGCACAGCTGGCCCCCATGCAACCCTCATCCAGATGTGTTGGACCCCCCAGTCCAGCATCCTTAGCCAACGTGCCAGGCAGCCCCAGACTACATCTCCCATCGCTCGCTTCCAGCCAGGTCCTCTCTGCCAGTGGGATCTGCAACTTGCCACATCTGCAAGGACGGGTAAGAAATCCGTCCGGTCCAAAGGACAAACAAATGAAAACCAAGGGGCTAGTCCCTGGCGCCAGCCCAACCCAGCTTACTGAAAAACCAAGATTAAACAAGCTTTCCTTAGCCGAAATGAATCCGACCTTCTCTTTCCCTTCCGTTCTCCAGTGAGGGATGCCTTTAAAAAGCAAATACTGTAGCCCCTTGAAGAGAAAAAATAAAAGTTCCTTGATGGCTTTTCTTAGAACACGCGCTCCAATACCTCAGGTCAGGCATCTGGACCTCCCCGCTGCTGGTAGAGGGTATTTTGGATTATTAAATATCTCTTTTAATAGCCACTTCCAGCCGCAGTCAGCCGCTGTGAAGGGAGGCCTCCTCCATCAGAAGCAACATATAAATCTTAAAAAGGACAATTAATTCTTCAAAAGGTTAGGCGTAGAAACAGAAAACCGGGTGCCTCAAGCTTGTTGAGCCCGTCTCAAAGACCTAGCAGGCCTTACAAACTCCGGTGCTACTTTGGGGAAGGCTGGCTGCAAAGCTCAACGTGCTGCCCTTCCCTTCTCTTCATGAGGACTAGAAACCCAGGACCCGCTTTGTGCCTAGA